AGACATGGAGTTTCACCATGTGGCTCTGCCCAGTCTCCATCTAACACTCCTCCTGCCTCAGTATCCTAAGCTTTAAAGTTTTAGGCATGTCCCAAGACAAACATCTTTGCAGCATGAGGGAACAGAGTCTAAACGTGCAGGGATGTGCAAGCATGAGACTCTGGGGTTCCCAGAACCCATAGACATTTAAGGAAAGCAAGACTTTTTTTAAGTTTAATTTTGAAAAAGACTCCTACTTTGGTGTATGAATGTTGGCCTGCAGGTATGTATACCACATGTGTGGCTAGTGCTCTTGAAGACCAGAAGAGGGAGTCATTCTTGTGAGCTGGAGTTGCAGACTGTTGGTTGTGATCTGTGATGTGAGCCTTGCTAATTGAACCTGAGCCCTCCAAAAGAGCAGCCTGCAGGCTGGGTTTTTCTGTAGCTCTGGAGCCTGTCCTGGAGCTTGCTCTTGTAGACCAGGCTGGCCTCCAACTCACAGAGATCCCACCGCCCAGCTTATAGTTAAATATTTTTATATAAAATATTGGTTGTGTGTGGTGCTAGAGATCAGGTACTGCAGCACTTGCCTGCATGCTCTGAAAGGGCCCTACTGCTAGGTTGTTCAGTCCAACACTAACCTTCATGGAGAACCACAGTACTAGATACAGTCTTACGATGCTATAGAAGATGAGAATTTGATCCCATCTTAAAAACAGTAGCCCTTAGGACCTGGAGAGACATCTCAATAGTGCTTGGTACCCTTCCAGAAGACCCAGGTTCAGTTCCCAGCACTGGAATGGTGGCTCACCATCTATAACTGGATTTGACTTCCTGGAAAAGCTTCTGTTGCTATTGACATATAGCATATGCTATGATAGGCACATACACATATAATTTCAATTTTTTTGTTTTGAGACATGTAGCCCTGGCTGTCCTCTGCCCTCCAAGTGCTAGGGGTAAAGGTGTGTGCCACCACATCTGGCGGTAATTTGAACTGTTGAGCTTTAGCTGTGCTGTCTTTTGGTAAAAATGTCCGTTTTACTGGGTTAGTTTAGCAGTGTGCAATTGTATAGATATTCACATTGTTCTAACAGTGTTAAACTACTGTTTTCCCTTCATGCAGAGGTAACAGGCCTGTATTAACCACGTAAGGTCTTATCTACAGTTCAGTGGTGGAGCAGGCACCTGGCATGCACAAAGCCAGAGATCTGTCTCCTGGGCAGCAGAGCAAAATCAGAGTGTGGCCCCAACTGTGAACAGAGACATTGCATTCCTCACACTCAGCCACCTGTGCTGTCTCCAGATCGTCATGTTCTTACGTGGGATATATGCCTTTTCTATTCTTCCTGTCAGATTACAGTACACTCACAGTACTCGCCCATTTTGGTATTTAAGTCCCACTTATACTTTTTTCTTTTTGTGGCACAAGGGTTGACCAGGGCCTCACACGCCCTCATACTCACATTTTGAGACAGAGACCTAACTGAGCTGTATCCGCAGCCTTTTTTTCCCCTTGACAGTCCTTGAACTTACTCTGTAACCCAGGCACGTCTTGAGCTTGCAACCTCCCTTTCCAACTCCCCAGGGGCTGAGATTACAGGCCCCTGCCACTAGCCCAGCCTTGTCACTTCCTTGCTGCTTGGCCAAAACCTAAATGTCCACTAGGATTTATCAGTTTACTGTTATTAAAGGTGTGAAAAGACAAGCAGAAGGGAGGTCAAAGCTGGGCCTTACTGGGAATGGGAACAGTGCAATGATTTGGGAATCATGAGATACTGTTTATTAGTTAAATTCTAAGAATGGTAACTAGTGCCCCAGATACAAGAGTTTGCGAGGGATAAAAACATGCTAGTACTGATCTCTGTAAGCTTGAGGCCTGGTCTACAAGAGCTAGTTCCAGGACAGGCTCCAAAGCTACAGAGAAACCTTGTCTCAAAAAACAAAAACAAAAAGCCAGTAGTCAGGAGGTGGGAGAGGGGAGGGGAATGAGGCAAACCTTTAATCCCAGCTCTTGGATTTAATCCCAGTAGAGGTAAGTGGATCTCTGAGTTCCGGGTCAGCGTGGTCTAGAAAGGTAACCCAGATAAACCCTGTCTTTGTCAGTGAGGTTTGACACTAAAGAGGAGGGAAAAAAAACGTGGGTGACACGGGAGGGGGGGCAGATGCTGAGAGCAGAAGGAGAATGAGGCCGTCTAAGGGGCCGCCTTTGCAATGGCCCGGCCCAGAGCTCACTAAAGGCCTAAGTGTTACTTTGGATCAGGTTTTGGTCAGAGGTAGAAGACTCAGATACCCAAAGGCTATCAGTTCACCAGGCTCCTTGAAGATGGCTGTTTTTAAATGGGCATATCAAAAACACTACATCTGCATGCCAAGGGGAGATTAGCGGGCAGATCTTATATAGGTTTGTACAGTGGTATCTAGATTGTTGAGTGGATTGTTCAGTAACTATGTTTAAAATGGTTATTCTATAGACATGTCCCCATGTCCCCATTTCTAGTGTTGAATTTGAGTTAGTTACCTCTAGGATCCCACAGGACATTTTTCTTATCTATCACCATATAAAAGAATCTGTTTACATAATCCTTCCACCTAGAGTAGGCTCATAGAAGTGTGTCAGGTCCTATTTACCTTCTTACCTAAGGGCACTTGGCCTATTAAGTAAATCCTCAGATACTAAGTGAGAAAAACAGTTTTCTCTCGCTTCTCATCCATATATTTATTCCTCCAGCATGGACTAGAGTCTCTTGTTCATGTAAAGGGCCCTAGCAAGGAAGAATCAAGAAAAAGGAATTAGTGGTGAAGAGAAAACAAACATAAAAAGCAAGAAAAGTACACCAGGAAAAGAATGAACAGGAAATAGAAAAGAGCCCTGGAAGAGAATGGAGAGGCAGGTTTTGTGTCAAAGAAACTTCCCTGACAGCTGTTACCATAATGAGAACTGACAGCTAACTAGCAGGCCAGTCTGGTGTGATTAGGAAAATGGCATTATCTCCATCCAGTGGGGATGAAGGAATTTAAAGGAAGAGAAGAAACAGTCACTTGCCTTCCTCCAGAGATTGAAAGGGGGGGGGGGGGAATGTATCTACAGAGATTTGCCAGGAATTTAAAACAAAGGAGCTGTTTCAGCCCACTAAATCCCCAACTTCCCAGGTGCTAAAGAGGGCCTCCTCCACTGCTCTGGTGGGGACATCTAGAATCAAAAGGTTCTTTCTGTTCTACAGAGTGAAGATAGATCTGCTCACCTCCGTCTGCGGGGAGCCTGCCCCGCGTCACAGTAGCGATGCTGCGGGAAACAGCATCTGGTCCCTGCAAGTACCACTAGGACTGGGAATCTCGGGACCTAGGTTTTCTTTTTCTTTTCCTCCCCTTCTGTCTTTTTCTTCTTCTTAAGAGTATTATATAGTCCAGGCTAGCCTTCTACTTGTGATACTCCCTCACACACACACCCACATCAGGATTACAGTTCTCCAACACCCCACCCAACTGGACCTGGTTCTTTTAAGTTTCTTAATTTTGGGGGGTTGTTGTTTTGTGGTAGTCTCATATATTCCAGGTTGGTCATGAACTTCCTATATAGCCAAGGATGACCTTAGGTTCTTGATCCACTTGCTTGTGCCCCAAGTGCTGAGGCCACAGGTGTACCAGAGTGTCTGTCTGAATCTGGGTCTGAGATATCGTGCTTTTGCTTTTAAAAACAAATTCCATTTCTTTAGCATAAAGATTTAGTGATATTATCATCCTATAAGGGGGAAATTCTGGAGAATTTACTAAGGGTTTTGTTTGGGAGGGCTTAGGTGGGAAGGTTTCCTGGAGCTGAACCCTGGGCTTTTCATATGCTCTACTGCTGAGTTATACACTCATTTCTAGGAAGTCAATCCTTTAGGGAAAGCAAAGTCTTAGAGAAAATTCTGAACTCTACTGTTGTGGAAACACAAAATTTAAAAAAATATATAATACACGCTCATCTCATGCCACATATACTTATATCTTAAAACAATGCTCTTAGCTGGGCGATGGTGGCGCAAGCCTTTAATCCCAGCACTTGGGAGGCAGAGGCAGGCGGATCTCTGTGAGTTCGAGACCAGCCTGGTCTACAGAGCTAGTTCCAGGACAGGCTCTAAAGCCACAGAGAAACCCTGTCTCGAAAAACCAAAAAAAAAAAAAAAAAAAAATGTTCTTGCCAGCTGTGTAGCATGACCTTAATCCTAGCAATAAAATAAAAAATAATATAAAATAAATATATAAAATATAAATAAAAAGACAAGGTTCTCATGTATTGTGTAGTTGAGAATGATGCTGGCTTATTTCATGCATATTAAGCAAGCTCTACCAACTGCGCTACAAGCCTAGTTCTTTCACTGAGTCATTATTACTTATTGATTTTTTTTCAAGACGAGGTTTTGTTATGTAGCCCTAGCTGTCCTGGAACTAACCCTTGCAGACCAGGCTCGTCTTAAACTCAGAGATCCACCTGCCTCTGCCTGGGATTAAAGATGTGCACCAACACCAACTGGCTTGAGTTATTGTTTTTAAAAATTATTTTATTTCATGCGTTTGAGTGTTTTGCTTTCATATGAGTATTTGCACCACATGTGTGCCAGGTGTGCCTGGCACCCAAAGAGGCCAGAAGGGAATGTCAGATCTCCTGTAACTGGAGTTAACAGTTATGAGTCACTATGTAAGTATTGGGAATTGAACCTGGGTCCTTTGGAAGTACAGTCAGTGAGCCAATGCTCTTACTGACTTATCTCTCCAGTCCCAATGTGTGCATTCTTAATAATAGGAACTTCGTTTCTTGTTAAAATTTTTTCCTTTCTGATTACAATATTAGATCTCAAAAGCCATAAAATAACAATTATCTTGTTCTATAGATTCACTGATGTCAGCAGGCTGCTTGAGATGTGGCAAAGACTGGTGATCAGCTTTTAAACCCAAACAAAACAACACAAAGTTGTGTTTTGGTAAAAAAAAAAAAAAAAAAAAAAAAGTCCTAAAGCGAAAACCTAGATGTTGCCTGGAGACTGGGCAAATACCTTTTAAAAGAAAAAAAATCTCCGTTTAAAAAAACCTTTTTCCCTCAGAGTGAAATCACACTCAGTGGAAGTTGTTTCGGGACAAAGCTGAGTAAATAAGTATTTCTATACCATATGTTTTGCTTTGGCAGGAGAAAAGAGTGGGAAGGGAATCTCCGTGCCAGCGAATGCCAATATCACACCCCATCTGGGTATTTATCCACAAAATAAGGAGAAACACACAAACACTTGGCCAAAACACCTTTAATGACGGAGGGACAGATACGTGTATCCCCCACTCTGCTCTTACACACGTCTGTGTTAGGAGCTCTGGAGTCGCTACTTTCGAATCATCGTTTACATCAGCAAAATCCAGTCTCCCCTCAGAACTCCTGTTCCACAGGATCCTATGTTAAGAGTAAGTACTACATCTCACTACACAACAGAGAGGCAGGGAGGAACCACTTGAAGCTCATCTCCCAATGTCTGGGACTCTTGGAAACATACAGAAAAATGAAGACATAAGCTCTGGTCCACGATCAGGCAAAGCTGGGGAGGGAAAGGGTTTTGAGAAGATGAAGGACATACAAGGGGCAAAGGGATAAAATCGGGAGTCATCTAAAACTAAAAGCACTCTAGTGCCAGGAAGTCCCCTGACCCTTGCTGCTGCTGCAACACCACCTCACCATTAGCCCAAAGGAACGTCATGAAGGTCACACTCAACCAGAGCTGAAGCTCCTCTCTCTTCTGTGCCATCCCATTCTTCAGCAAATAGGTTCCCCGAAATCCCTGATTCAGCAACACTCCTTCAGTCATGATTACTTCACTAACCACCCTCACCAATAAGTTTAAAGTTAGGAACTTTATACTTTATATAGCCCATGGGAGACCTCTTGGCAAGAGATCTGCTTGTTGGTTAGGAGGATAAATGAGAAGTTGAAGGAGTCCTTGCATCTTGACCAGCCAACCTCTTTGCCTTAATGTGACAAGTCAAGAGACATACTGAAAAAGCATCCTAATCCTTCATTCTTCTTTGCAGCACCTTCTGGAGTAGGGGGAAGGAGATAGAAGTTATAACTTGCTACTTTTCTCTGGTGTGCTTGGTAGGCACCACCTGGGTATGGGAGGCAGAAACAGGAGAGAGGCTATGTTCTCCTAGACCCTTCTGGATCATGTTGGGGTCACCTTCTCAAGCACAGTTCCTGTTCTTAATAGCAATGATGGTGCTACGGCCGAAGTGGTACTGCAGGTGAATCTAGAATTCCAGGGCTTGCTGCATAGGCCACCTGACAGGAACAACTGTGTACCAGTTGCAGAGAGGTAAGAAACCCACCCCTCACAAACTTCTCAAGAAGGTCCAGATCACCACGGAATAGCATAGACCGTGGTCTGCCCTTTTGAGTGAAGCTGCCATTCCAAAGATGGCAGTTCTCACGTGCCTGCCAGAGGGAAAGGGAGAAGAGGAAGGGCTCCCCTTGAGAATGAAAGCTACAGAGAATTCATTTTCCTTAGCTACAAAGAACAAAAAGGTGATACAAATTTCTTACAGGGCATTCCCTTTTAAACGCAATTTTTTTGTTTGTTTTTGTTTTTGGAGACAGGATTTCTCTGTAGCTTTGGAGCTTTTCCTGGAACTCACTCAATTTTTAAGGTCAGGGACTAGAGAGAAGCCGTAGAAACATCATGTCAAAACTTGAGAAAAGGGAAGGCTAAGTTTTGAAAGTCCTTCTATGGAGCGCCCAGTTTCTGTGCCCTGGGTCATGGAGACTGGGTACAGAAAACAGGCTCATGGGATGGCAGGGTCATCTTTTCGAGGGAACGGAGAGAGCCCTGGAGAAGTGATGGAAGAGGAACAGCCAGGGACCAAGGGCAGAGTAGCAATATTCTGAGGGCCATGGGGTGCAAAGGGTGGTACCTGGTGGTGAGCCAACAGCATGTGCTTCTTGAGGGTAGGACGGTCAAGGAAGCCCTGCCTGCAGAACACACAAGTGAAGAGCGGCCCTTCCTTAGGATGGTTCTTCTGGTGCTCCTCCAGTGCTGCCTGGGCAGGAAAGGTCTGGCCACACACTTCACAGGCCTTTCTGCTGCTGCCTTCTCCTGGCTCCTCCACCAAAGGGGTGCTGGTGCCCTCCCCTTCTTGGGTGAGTGCTGCAATGGGGCTTGGTGTCCCCTCCAATTTGGCCTCTTCTTCTATGCCTCTGGAAACATCACTGGTTCCCTGCTCCATGGGCTGGGGGTGATCCAGGTTGTCAGGTGGAGGTGGTGGCAGGGATTGTTGAGTGGCTTTCTCACTTCTATCCATCTCCTTCCCCGCAGTGGGTGCTGCGCTTACTGCTCCCACTTCCTCCTCTGCCCCAGATACCTCTTCTGAGTCACCTCTCACTGATATGGCCTTCTCACCCCCACTCTCTGAGCCTCTTCCTGCTAGGGAATCTTCATCTGTCGCATCTTCCTCTTCTTCCTCATCCTCTTCCTCTTCCTCAGACAACTCCTCCTCTGGTGATGGTTGCTGGGGTTGCTGTTGGGGGAAGCTCCCTGGTCCAGAGGCTGTAGATTGCTCAGAGCTGCTCTCCTGGGCAGCTCCCCCACTTTCAGGGAGTGTGGAACCACCGTTGGGGATTTGACCCCCCAGGTGCATCCGGACATGTTGCTGCAGAGTGACGGCGTTAGTGAACTTCTTCTGGCAGATGGGGCAGGAGTTCTGGGCTCGGGCAGCTGGACTGGTCTTGTGACCCACAAAATGTGCACGCAAATTGCCCCTTGTGGAGAAAGCTCTGCCACACACTTTACACTTGAAGGGCCGCTCGCCGCCGTGTTGTCCATAATGGAGGCGTAGAGCCCGGGGACAGCTCAGCACCCGGAGACAGATGACACACTGGTTAGGTCCTAAAGATGAGGATGAAGGTGCAGGGGTAGAAGTGGTCGGAGCTCCTGAGGCAGTAGAGGCCACAGCCACAGCTCCTTGGCGGTCAATCTTCTCTACCAGCTGCTGCAACTTTGAGGTCTCAGAAGGTGAGGCCCCCAAGGGTTCTAGCACATAGGGGAAGGGGAAACTTCCAGTTGACTTCAGGTGATTAGTCAGCAACGCCCAGCTTGGCAGCGATGTCACCAGCTTACTTAGCTGCATTCGGGTTGCTGCGCCACCATCTGCTACTCCGGTAATGGCTGAGCCCTCACTCCCTGGAGGAGTATTTTCATCAGCTTTACTCTTGGGCTCCACGGCTTTCATGAGCACAAACTTGTTGAAAGGAGGGAGCCCAGGAGCCACGGATGTGCTTGTGCCAGTGGACAGCATTGTCAGGCTCTCTGTGGCACTGAGTGCCGTGGTGGAGGCCACTAGAGGTTTGCGTTCAACGCCTCCGCCCGGCGTGGCTGCCTCCTCTTCTGCTTTTTCTGGTGGCACAGACATTCCATAAGGCAGCCCACTGCTGGTGATAACGTAGTCTAGGTGCTCCGGCACGGGATGTGGATTCATTTGCACGTGTGGGTACTTCTCACGATGCCGGTGGAAATGTACTTTGAGGTTGCCCCGAGTAGTGAAGCGATTACCACAGACGTTGCACTTATAGGGCCTCTCTCCAGTGTGGGAACGAAGATGGATTTGCAGGGCGCTATCACTGCCAAATACTTTGGCACAAAAGCGGCATTTGTGCCTTCCACCAGGCTTTTCCAAGGAACTGATTAGTTCCCCATAGCCCAGCTCACCACTTCCATTCTTTGGCTTCAGGAGCCCTGGGGAGGCCGCAGCCTCAAGACCCCTTGCTGCCCCAAGACACTGAGCTGCCAGGAGTCCTGTGGTGCCTGGGAATGCCAGATGAGGTGAGGCAATCAGCTGATCTGTGCTGCCTGACAGGGCGGGGGAGGGGGTAGGGGTAGGTTTGTGGCTTCGCCCTACCCCTCCGACAGAGAAGGGATGCTGCGATCCCAGCGGGTGGTAAAGGTGGAAGAAAGCCTGCTTAGGGGGTTCTGCCCCTGAAGAGGAGGAAGAGGAGGACGAAGGTGCCAGTGTCTTACCAGTTTGGACAGGTTTGATGGGACTGAAGAGGGGCAGTAGGGGCTTGGTGGAGGAGGCAGTCCCTGTCCCAGGTAGCTCTGAAGGACTGGTAGGGGCACCCACCGTCTGCCCTAAGGAGCCAAGCAGCAGCACCTGGCGACAGATTTGTTCCGTCATCTGCATCTGATGGATCTGGCGCTGCTGTAGCACCCGCAGCTCTTCCAAGATCAAAGGGATGTTCAAGTGGCCACTGCCTACACCTGAAGGGGGAGGGGGAGGTGGTGGAGGAGGGGGTGCAGGGGTAGATTCTGGAGGTAATGGGGTTGCTCCCAGCTTGGGACTGGCCAAGATCAGGCCCCCACCTCCCCCAGTCGCTGTACCTGTGGCAGCGACCAGGAAATGCCCAGAAGACTCCTCTCCTCTTCGCTCTGGCCCCCAGGTAGGATCAGGGGGCCCAGAAGACCCAGAATCTGGGGCATTACTGTGCTCTGTGTCCATGACCAGGGGCCTATTGTGGCCCTCTGGCCGGGGTGCAGAGGAGGCTGAAGAGTTGCTGGGGTTCTCCTGGCCCCCAATTATCACCATTACGGGTGGGTCAGTACAACATGCATTCTGGTGAGCGAGGAATTCGGTCGGGTCAGAGAATTGTGCGCAGCATTTGGTACAGACTTGGGGATGGTCCTCCTCGCTAGCATCACCTAGGGGAAAGACAAGGAGAGAGTGTGGGTAATGCGGTTTTGTTGGGTAACGGAAGCTATAAAGAACGGGCAACCCAGGAACCGCGGGTTAGGGTGGGAAGGAAGCTAGGGCTCGGACTGAACCCGACCCGCGTTGCTCCCGGACACCCAGCAAAAGGGGAAGGGGGACAGAGCGCGCACACTCCGAGCCTCCTCCGTCACCCCTCCCCCTCCCCTGGCCCAGGAAGAGTGGGAATGGATGTGAGAACGGGGGCCTATGTGTAGAATCACACATTTTATCCGTCCACTTAAAGTCCTTATACGCAAGCGTCCCCTCAGCCCCCATCTCTGCCCAAGCCTGGCCCTACCGCACCTCCGCGCTCCGCAGGCTCCCCGCAGGGCCCCCCGAGTCGAGAGCTGCTCCCGGTTTCCTGCGCCATGGCCGTGGGGAAGTGGACAGCGGGATGGGGTAGGACACAATGGGTATCCGGTCTGGGGAGGCGTCGGTGACCGCCGGCGCTGCGGCAGTCTCTGCGCCCAGCGGCCCAGACTGCGGAGGAGGTCGGCGGTGGCGGGGGCAGGGAACAGCGGCAGAGGGGGAGGGGAGCGAGAAGGCGCAGAGGAGGGGAGGAGCTGGAGCGCGAACGCTGGTTGAGGGGAGATGGGGGAGGAGGAGCTGCCAGGGAGGAGGCAAGAGCAGAGAGTGTGTCCAGGGGGCAAGCGAGGGAGTTTTACCCAGGCTCTGGGACAGGTGCTGTGACGCACCTTGGGGGCCCACTGTGCCCTATCCTGGCCAGTTCCCCACCCTAGATGTCTTTATCCTAGCTGCTCCCACCGGGTCAGCCCCAAGCACTCAGTGGGAAACATTGCCCGCTCAATAGATTAAGGCGATAGGCTTCAGTAATTTTTCTTCGGATAAAGGATTTGCTGAGCTTGGAAAAACGTGGATTCCAAAGGGTGGTCGGCCGGCCTCAGAGGTCGGAGGACAAAAGTGGGAGGAGCCACCCAAACACCCACCCCCTTATCAACGCACACATCACAGAAAGATCTCAAGTTTTATTTTCATCCCTGCTCCCATTCTATCCTCGTCCTTCTTAAAAAAAGAAGTTCCTGGCGGGGGGGCGATTGCAAGATTTCCAAGAAAGTAATCTGAGGACCCCTTCTTGAGGAACACTAAGCCCTTCCCCCAGAATAACAGGTAAACACAAGCTAGTCCTCAGGCCACCGGCCCTATACCAAAAGCATTGAGTTCGTACTTAAAAGAAACCCTTTCCTGTTCCGTACCCTCTTCTCTACTGCCCACTCCCCCTCCCTACCCCCTGCTCCCGGTCCCTAACACGGACAATTAAAGACATTAGCTTGCAAAAGCCTATGGAGGTCCTTCCAGCTCCAACCTTGGGGGAGGGGAGCTCCTCCTGAAACAATGAGGAGGATGCGGAATGGGCTTTCACAGTCTGCCGCTAGTCCAAAGCCCCTAACATCCCCAATTAGATCTGAATTCCTAGACAAGGCTGGCACCTGCTCACCTCCACCGGGGAAAGCGGGGATACAGTGCCTCAGACCAGGTACTTTTCTTCCTTGAAATGAGATTTAAAGAGTCCCTCATTTCCTAAAATCCTTTATTTTTACATGTAAAAATAAAATAAATCCATGGTCTTGGATTTGTGGTTTGGTGGAAGTGGTCAAAAACTCATATTGTCCTTTTATTTATTTTTATATATTTTGAACCATGTTCTTACTATGTAGCTCTGGCTGGCGGTGTGGCTAAGTCTAGTAAGAAGCCCCCTAAGCCTCCTGTTTCTTCCTCAAATGCTGGGGTCACATTCTTGCTCATACCCCCCCCAACACACACACACACACACACACACACACACACACACAGTTTCTTTGTATAGCAGCCTGGGCTGCACTGAAACTCACCCTGTAGCCCAGGTTGGCCTTGAACTCACAGAGCCTCTGCCTCCCAAGCACTGGGGTTAAAGTCGTGTGCCACCAAATATGCCACCATCTCCCTTTTTTTATAAAGAGACAATATTTTATGTATATGATCTTTATCAGAGGAATATTTTGAAAGCAGAAAAATTGAAAACTGTTTTTTGTTGCCTTTTTTTAAAAATTGTGCATGTTACTAGAAACAAGCCTTGTGCCGAGTGTCTCACCGCTGAGCTGTATGCCCACTATAAAATGCTAGGAATAGTATTAACATATATAGGAATTTCCATAAAAAGAGAATATAAATGAGGAACTTTTTAAAGTTTAAAGAGCCTTAAATATTATGGAATAGGGGTTTATATTTTTAATAATATGATTACCTAAAATAAACACACACTAAAATAACATCCTTTTGTTTGTTGGTTGGTTGTTTTTTTTCTTTTTTTTATAGACTCTTCTGTAGCCTAGACTGGCCTCAAACTCATTTATGGCTAAGACAGACTTTGGTCCACTGCACCCCTGCATGATTGAGCTACGTGCTTAGCCCTCATCCCTCAATCTTGTTAACTTCTCTGCAATATCATTGACATGTCTAAGTTAGAGTCTATTTTGGGGGTGAGGGGGTGGGAGGGTGGGAAGGTCAGGTGAACCAAAATCAAATCTTAGTAAATCTAATCAAAATTTTATCAAGTAGTTTGAGAGTGGTGACACTCAGGAGGCAGAGGCAGGCGGGTCTCTGTGAATGCGAGACTGACCTAGTCTACGCATCTACATAGGGAGCTCTTTAGGTTATACAGCTAGACCCTGTCAAAAAAGAAAAAAGTAAATACTGCCTTTATAAATTGAAAACAATTTACAGGTTGATGTTTTAAAACTTCAGATAATCTCAGTGATTTTAGTCTTGTGAAGGTGAGAAACAGGTGAGACCTGGCTTTTGCAGATGAAGAAGGTGTCTGTTTCAGTTCGTCTTAGACACAGGTAAGTGCAGAATGCTTTAGTTTTACAGATAAGGAAACTGAAGATGGCAGAGGTTAAGTGACTTTTCCAAGTTCAGCGGAGCAGCGTTCAGGTCTTTGGCTTCTGACCAGCGCTCCTCAGGCACATCCCAAGGCTGGAGAAAGAGGCCCTCGGGGCGGAGAGAAGAATCAGATGGTGACTTTCTACCTAGCGTTTGGTAATTAGCCCTGAACATTTGATATCCCATTGCTGTTCTGTGAAGTCCTTTCCTTTTCTTCTCCTGGGAAACAGTGTCCCCTTTCTTGCTTTTTAATGAAATGTGCTTTCTGCAGTGTCATCTGATCTACGCTCTAAAGGTAAATTTCACCTGATGAAAGGTGATGTATCAACAGCCACCTGTAGGAGGAACTTTCTACTGCTCAGTGCCGTTTACACTCCATGCCTAACCTGAAAAAGGGAGCAAGATTCTCACGCAAACAAAACTAAAGTCATCCAGCACAGGGGCAGGCTAAACTGGTAATGGTTTACCTAGAGAGCAGAAAGTACGAAAAGAGATGCAGTCTGTGATGGCTGGACTGCTTTTCACAGAGAAACTTGGTGTCAAAAAAACAAAAATAGATAAAACAAGATTTGAAAATAAATAAAAAAATAAACACACAAAATAAAATAAAGAACTGAATAGCTTTTCTTCTAAACCTGGTTCCCGGGGTGGGGGTATAGTTCAGTTGGTAGGTAGGGAGCATGCCAAGCAGGCACAAAGCCCTGGGTTCAATCCCCGACATAAACCAAGCACACACCTGTAATTCTAGCACTCTGGATCATACAGTTGGATCAGAAGTTCAAGATTATCCTCACTGACCCCATCACAAGCTGATGGCTAACCTGAACTATTTTTTTTTATATTTATTTATTATGTATACAATATTCTATCTGTGTGTGCCTGCAGGCCAGAAGAGCACCAGACTTTATTACAGATGGCTGTGAACCACCATGTGGTTGCTGGGAATTGAACTCAGGACCTTTGGAAGAGCAGGCAATTCTCTTAACCACTGAGCCATTTCTCCAGCCCTAACCTGAACTATTTAGGACACAATGTGGAAAGTAGACAAAAACCTGACCTGGGTGGCAGTGGCGCACGCCTCCAATCCCAGCAACAGGGAGGCAGAGGCAGGCAGATTTCTGTGCATCCGAGGCTAGCCTGGTCTACAGAGTGAGTTCTAGGATAGACAGGGAAACCCTGTCTCAAAAAACAAACCAAACGGGGGGCTGGAGAGATGGCTCAGTGGTTGAGAGCACTGCCTGCTCTTCCAAAGGTCCTGAGTTCAATTCCCAGCAACCACATGGTGGCTCACAACCATCTGTAATGAGGTCTGGTGCCCTCTTCTGGCCTGCAGACATACACACAGACAGAATATTGTATACATAATAAATAAATAAATATTTAAAAAACAAAACAAAACAACACAAAATAAAACGAAAACAAAAACCCGGTGCCCTGGCAAACTGCTTCAGGGTTGGGAGAGAATGGTTGGCTGAGCAGCAGAGCGGTGGATCTAAATAGGGACTCTTAGCCTTTACTATACTAGGATTACCTTTAGAGCTTAGGTCATAGTAATGCCTTAGGCTGGGGCCATAACTCCACAGTAGTGCACAACCCTAGACCTCAGTAAGCTTTGAGTTCCAGCACAAACACTGGAAAAAAGAAAAAAAAAAAGCAATCTCAAGGCTAAATTTAAAAATTCTAAGGGTGGGATCCTAGCATCATTATCATCATCATTATTATTTTGATAGAGTCTCACCATGTAGCTCTGGCTGGTCTGCAACTTGCTATGGAGGCCAGACTCAAGAGATCAGTCCATTCTGACTCCTTGGTGCAGAGATTAGAGGTATGCACCGCCATGCCCAGCTCAAGCATTAGTGTTTTTATGAAGCCCCTCACTTATTCTATTGTCCAGCAAAAGGCTGGGAAATGTTGCTTCCAGGGGTAGAACACTTACCTATCATGACTTGAGGCTCTGGGTTTAGTCCCAGTGAACACAGGCATGTGGACACACCCAAACTGGGCGTTTTGGCATATGCCTGTTATTCCAGGATTTGGCCATGCCACTACTTAATTTCTGCACTCTTGATACACATTGTGGATACAAAATTATACGTTGAAATTAAGGTCTGATGATGATGTCCAGTGGCAGAAGGTTACCGGCCCATGGGCCTTGAGCTCAGTCTCCAGCACACACATATAATCCCTCCCCACGACACACACGAAAGACAAGTACTCCAATAACAGAGCTGAGAGGACTGTTCTCTTCTAACTGTCCCTATTCCTCACAAATCTTACCTCAACTGAATCATTACTGATTGGCAGCCTTCAGAAATATAAATAGATTTTGTGACTGTTGCCAGGGTCACTTTTTAAAGAATGTCCCATTTTCTCTCTCAGTCTCCTCTAGTAAGTCATACACATATTTCTTTGCCAAACCAAACTACTATACTAAAACCTATGGATGCACCCATGGGCTGGTCCAGATGGTACACAGAGGAAGAGGGACTTGGACACCAGGTAACAAGTGAGAAAGACATTTGCATCAGAACATGAACATCTTCAAAACTCCCACCAAGTCTCAATGCACGCTTTTCTGAAATCAAGGGGTGCAGCACAACACGGAATTTAAACACTGTTTTGGAGCTCAAAGTCATTTTAGAGATCTGACCCTTCATTGAGCACAAAAGCAAAACAAAACAGTTGAAGTCTCAGTTTTGATTTTTTTCTCCTCTTTTTTTTTGTGGGGGAGGGGATTGAGATGGGGCTATGTAGTTCTGGCTGGCTTGAAACTCATTGTGTAGACCAGGCTACCTTGAACTCACAGAGATCTACTTGCCTTTTTCTTCTGAGTGCAAGGTGCAAGGATTAAAATTGTGTGCAGCCACATTCAACGAATTTGGGGAAAGTTTCTTTATATTTCCTTTCTTTCTTTCTTTCTTTCTTTCTTTCTTTCTTTCTTTCTCTCTCTCTCTCTCTCTCTCTCTCTCTCTCTCTCTCTCTCTCTCTCTCTTTCTTTCTTTCTTTCTTTCCTTTTCTTCT